CTCAGAAAATGGTGAGTTGTAATTCATCAACGCTGTTTTATCTTCTAGATAAATAGGTTCTAAAGTTCAACTGGGTTCAACTCCTTTTCAAGCCATCCATGAAGCAACTGACGCGGACTTCTCAACTCTTTCACCTTCTAACAACAAATCATTTAGGAATCAAATTTCAATTCTATAACTGTTTGTGCAGATTGACGAAGTGACGGACGCGTACTCCTTCCTGGCCAAGATGATAGGAGCCACTTGGATTGAATGACCATAAGTCTGCTGCGATGATATGAGACGCGCTTATCCCTTAACATGTCCAACTCTAGATTTTAGGGTGTTGGTTAAGTCTCAACTATACGAACTAATTGATAATTTAGCTGCCCTGTAGTCATTGTGTACTACCAGAAATGAACAAGCTGTAACGACCACAAGATAATCACCATACCGACCGCACCTCCCCGTAATCGCGACCATGATAGTAATCTATGTTCCCGCAAAAAAATTGACAAATTTTCCTTGGATGAAGGTTTGCTGAGATTCAGTGAGAAGCGTGCATCTCTACCTGTATCCTTCCTTGATGCACTTATAATGTATGTGCCATGTCCTCGTTTGACAACGGGAAATTACAATTTCTAACTTTCTATTTTATTTCCACCACTTTGCAAACGCATTGCTGCTTCAGCTGCAAACTCACGTTGCACCAGCCCATCTTCATGAAGCTTGAAATGGAGTATAGATGCAAACAACGAGATCATCACGAAGTAGGGCTCGGCAGTCACCTAGTTTCTTCATGTCGGTATTTTAGAATCCGATGGCTTTTGTAGGGTCTCATAATCTTCTTCGTTTTTCTAGGTGCCACCGAAAATATCCAAGAGGTGCTAAGTCGGAGGTGATTGCATAAGAATTTTCTGTTCGGGAGCTGGGTTGTGATTTCCGTGCGAGGGTTGTGGGTGTTTCGACGTGGAGAATGAGTTTGAATCTGCGGTCAGAATGGGACAGGGGACTGGAGTTCGCTTTGCGTCAGGGTGAGGTGGATTTTGAGAAATGTTGGAAGTTTGCTGATTAGAGTTTGGAGGATGTGGGCAAGGCGGGGTACAAGAGAGCTCTGTAGGATGCAGAGCGCTGGTTACGATTTAGCAACCGATTGGAAGACAGAAGACGAATAATGAAGGGTAGAGCCCTAAAGAAGCAGGGATAGATGGGGTTCATGTGGAGGGCGGGGAATCAGCCACAGTATCGACAGTGCCCGAATTTAAACTGGTGTTTCTTAGTGATCAGGTGTGGCTTCTGTTCCTTTTCTGAACCCACCTCTCAACTTACTGAGGGCTTTCTTTTGGAGGGTTAAGCCTCTCTGTCTGATGAGTTGACGTGGGGTGCCGATTCTTGGTATTGTTCAAGGCTAATAAAAGTCTCGTCACGCGCCTCATGTATGATAAGTTCGCCAATACGTACCAGGTAATGCAGTTAATGGCCTCTTTCTTTAACGCCTTGCATTGAATATTCTTTCATTACTGGGATTGCAGGCTTTTTGACCACCTCTCTCTCTATTCCAGTGTGTGTTGTTACGACATTGTGTGACCCTGTCTTTTTCCCAGGATCAATATGGGTTCTCTGTTCCTCTTAATCCTGTTGCTATACGAAATTCATTTTACTTCTGGTGATTATCAAGCCTCTTATTTCCGTGGAATTCACTCTAGGGTTTATTTATTCATTTATTCATTAATCATATCAGAACCTCATCAATAACTTATTTGTTCCCATAACCTTCTTGGATGTCGCTTCCTCATTATTCCATGGGGTCTTGTCGTTGTCAGCCAGAGTAAAGTATTCTTTTCTTTTCTGCATCTTTGGGAGACTTCAAGTCTAATTTTGCTAGCTCTTATTTCTGAGAAAGAATTATTAGTTGTGCCTCGCACTTTTCTGAACTTGCACTTCCCATCGAGTTATGTTGGACTTGCTTTGTGCTTCGCCAATTGCACCTCCTTCAGGTGTTGGAACTTGTAGCTCTATCAACAATTTATGGAAAGTTCAAGTAGAAATATGGTTAATGTTGCTGCTAATTTTTTTAATAGTTGGAATATTTCTGAAATTCTGATGTCACCGAACGTAAAATATATTGGCAATTAGCGGCATTGACGTCCTTTCAAAAACTAGATATGTTGGGAATTGTACTGTACTCTTTCAGTTTTGGTAATAATATGTTTTCCCCTTTTCTTCTTCCTGATATATTTTTTGGTTTGGCTGACGTCTGCAGAATTGCCTCGTTCTATTTCTTGCCGCAATATAATCATGTGCATCTGATATCCTCTTATTGAAGGGACAAAACATCCAAATTTTGAATTTTTCTGCACATCTTCTGTTCAGTTTCTAAGATTATTAGTGTCATTGACGAGTGACGAGTGACGAGTTGACCACATAGAGTAGCAGAGTTGGATGTGACTTGGATTTGATTTGAGAATGTAATCTTATGGGTATTCCTTTTTCGACAGACCAATTGACGTTGATTTTCAGACTGTACTTTTGTAGAAACAGTGCAGGGTAAGAAAGGTTTCGAAGCTTAATTCCTAGCTGGATCCGTGATTCATCATTTCGATGTGTTGATTGATTCTGACAATGCCTTTATTCTAGCACAATTGTCATGATTTTCAAGTATTAACATTGAGTATTCTTATTTACTGCAATCAGAGTTCTTGTTGATAATAACTAGCCCTAGAAAATGTTACGTGACTCTCATTTGGTTTACATGCAATGGAATTTGCGATTTTGTGGTTTGGCAATGAGAGTTCTATCGAGTTTGGAACTACTTGGTGAACGCACTAAATGGTTTAAGCATCGGCTAGGTGTGTAAAAATGGCTGTTTTTCAAATACCCACTGTAAGACGCGAATTCGAAGGCCCAACAGATGCTAGATTGGCGAATACTTCCAAGAGTTTAGTGTTACTAATCGGCAGTCATTTTTTAATGCAGCTTGTTGGTTGTAAGAAGCACGCACAGAGCTTAGAATTGATGTTATATGCTAGTTGGCAATGAGACTGAAAATGTTTTGGTGCCCTCTGGATTCGAAACAACGTATCTGTTGTCCTTGAGTTAGCCATGTGGAGAATCATTCATAGGGTAAGAGCTCTTCGAAACATGATTGATGGAAAACGTGCTGGGCAATCTCGACAGAGGAAGTTAGAATAATGTTCATTGAGACGAGAATTAAAGCGGGATTTAACGTCTAAGTGTAATTTTTGTGTTGTAATTTCCATCGATACTTTTCAAGGTACTTCGATGAAAGAATTTAAATTGAAAAAACTTATTGCATGGAGTAAGATAACATCAAATGCTTTTTTGTGCATGCTCTTTTCAGAAAATCGCAGCGGCTCTGCCCGGAATGCAGGCATTATCTTCACGAAAAGATGATCAAGTTGGATTGAATGTCAAATCAACTTCAAATGCACAGGCAGATGGCAAAGCTGGAGTACATGCATGCTGAGCGAGGAAGGAAAACGCAGCAGAATGATGGTATCGGTTTGGCTCAGACATGATAAATCGTTCTAGGAGTTTCTCTTCTTGTGAACTATCTTCAAGCTTGAAACACGTGTTGATGAAGTAGATAGGGGTTAGTAGATGCAACCTTGTTATCTTTACCTTGGGGTAAAGGATAATACAAGATTGGCGAAGTTCCTAAGTCCTTGTGTGCATACTTTGCACGGGGCCTTCTTGTTAAGTGGTATTGGAATGACAGTGGACAGCAGGCAGCATTCACAAATTTTAATGTCTACTACACCTGCAAGTTTGTAGCATTCGATCAATGGATCTCTTATGCTTCGATTGTATGTATTTGAGCTTCTTTTCTTCAGTTCGGCTTTTGTTTTCTTCTTAGTTGCAGAGCTCATATTCTCCTCACTTTTGGAGATTCGGAGAAACCTGATTGTTTGAGCATCTTTTTGCATCAATGGATTCAAAAGTCTGCAGTAGTAGAACCAATAACATCGAAGTGAATTTTAAGACTTAACGGACTCAGGATATCGGCCTAAACAAATCTCTATCATTGCAATCTCTATCATTGCATAAGAAACAATTATGATCCGTAACGAATTGGTTTGTACACTGCAGCCTTCTCCCCTGAAGATTAAGCAACTCATCTGCTGGCACATTACACAAAAGCACACAGTAGATCATCAAATAGCTGCTGAAAGCAGTGACCTGGTTTGTAGTTTTGAAGGTGGTACTTTATTGTCGAAAGCAATCCGAACTGGTCCCAGAAAATAACAGAAATACGTTTAAAGCAAAAAGGTAAGTTCAAGTTCGATGTGTGAACTGGTTAAGGCTTGCGTTGTATCTAGATTTATATCAGCAGATTATTTGCATTCTTGGCTGGACGTGGACTTCCAAGCATATTCAAGGAGAATCTGGTCTTCATCTAGTTGAATTCGATGCTTCGTGTGGCTAACAGGAGGGATACTTCTTCATGTCCTGGGTTCACTTACAATCGAAAGCTACATGTTTCGCTGGCTCTCGCAACCAATTGCTTCATTGCACTGACAGCAACTTACTTGCCAGATGCTTTCGAAATTTCTAGGAATTTGTATGCAGTTATAAGCAAGGTGCTGTTTGAGTGCTTCGCTAGCATGATTTGAACCCGTTTGATGATACATATCTCCCAACTCTAGACTCTTTAACATGTGATTATTTCACAGGCTTTCATGGGCACTCATTGATGTTTGTTGCCATTTTTAACACTTGGAAACAAAAGTATGTGGGTGCATCAGATTCTGCAAAACTCGTATTATTTTACTGCTCTACTATTGTGAGATGATTCTACTTCGATCTGACCTGAAATTGTTGAAGCTTATGCTAAAACATTTTATGAACATGCTTTGCAGTCGCTCGAGAGCTTTGGGGTTTATAGCCTTGACTGTGAGACCATGATCACCGGATTGTTTACTTCTTCAATCGTTCACCATTAAATAGGTATCTTCTCTTACTACATGTTGGCTGAAATTTCTGAAGCGACGTTCCTTCAAATGTTTGGATTGGTGATTTAGTCTTCCCTGATTGATCCCTCGCAAATTTTGTGAAATTTCAAGGGCCACTCTCGAATAGGTTCAGATTAGGGGTTCTGTCAATCACATTATCAGAATCCTGGGTCGGAGCACTACCTAGAATGAATGAATGAATGTTCAGTGAGTGGGCAATGCCGAGTCTCCCTTTTGTTCTCAAGCTGCTCTGGTCTACTGCAAGGGCGTTACAATTGAGTCCCAGTTTTCAGTAACGTTAGTAGAGATCTTCGACAACGTGTTCAATTCGCCTTTTTGTCATGCTGCATTTATCCTTTTCGTAGCAGTCACATACCAAAGGAGACATTCTAGACTTTAGGTTTCTCCATGGCTGTGTGCCTTTCCCACATCTGCCATCACAAAGACATTGGTGTTAATGGCAATGTCAGAGGGAGTGTGTCTTACTGCGCTGGTACTAAACTTGGCTCTGGAATACCGTACTGTTTCGCCGCATCGTTATGAATTCTCACTTGCGTAAGAACAATCCAAGCAGGTAGTGGCGATTTCTAAATTACAGAAGCGAGGCTCCAAGTGGAGATGTTGTTTTGCACCGACTAGAGGTAATTGGCTTCTCCTATTATTCTTGTAGAAGCTTTCTTTCTGTTACAGTGTCTGCTTGCTTCCCGATGTTTGGTTTGTTTTGGATTCCTCAAAGCATTTCGTTCGAGGGCCGATTTCACTTACCAATAATCGAATTTAATTGTAAGATGTAAGAGATGTTTGAATGTTCACTCTCAACTCTGTTAAATCCACCAACTTGCTTTACATTACGCAAATTCATAAAATTATGTGGATATGCACAATACTGCATCATTTGTTTCTCCTTTGGGGAATCAGAGATAGTTTACATGTGGAATTTTCTCGTGCGGTGGGCTTTGATGTAATGAGGTAATTCACTTGCATTCTGCATTAATGATAGGTTCTGTATGTGTGGTAGCTCACCTCGGAATCCTGTCTGATAGTATCACTTGCTTCGGCTCGCATCACTATTTGTCGGAGCCTTCTTTTAGTAAGGCGGTGTTTGTTGGGTCCTTCCGCGCTTCTTCAAGCTTTTGATAGCTTTGAGTGAATGTGTTCCTTCAATTTTATCTGGGCTGTGGAGCTGGACATTTGATCCAGGATCATGGGTCTTTTAAAGAGATGAAAGAACTGCCACTGCCGACCAAGAAAGACGACTGCTTAGGGTGTGACTTTCTGCAAGTCGCTCCTTATTATCAAACTTTAGTCTCGAAAATTTGGTATTCGAGCTACTAGACGGAGGACATTACGTTAAGGTGTAATTTAATGGTTTAAGTTGAACGAAGACTTATAATCCTTGCTCTAGGCTGCGAGGGATGGTTGCCGACTGCGCATTTATTCCTAACGTTTTGTTTTCGAGTAAGGGTCTCTTTGTTGTCTTCTTTGTAAGAGAGAACGCATTATTTGAATATGCACGGTAGCTTTTATCATGATGCCTTCTCATATCAACCTCCTCTCTCGAATCTCTCCGAACAATATGTTCATTTGTCCATTCTCCACCGCCTAGTTATGTGAAGCTCTTATTCTCAAACGAGAATTAGGACGATTCGATCAGTTTTTTTTTATTATTATTTTTTTTTTTATTTTTGGTTCTCGCCTAGGTGTATACAAATGTTTAAATCTCGCTTCATTGTGACCAAGGGTAAGTGTGGATTCGGACACATTGATGGCGGGTACATTTTGGTGTTTACGAAAGTCGCTCGCCTTCAGAATTTTGGAACACACTCTTAGTTGAGTGAGTCAGATGTGGTCAAAGTGAGCTTTTGTCAACCTGCACATTGTGCTTTACAATCGTAGCCGAGGTTTGGTTTGAAATAACCTCGCAAATCCTTGCTCTCTTTGAACATCAAGTCTCATGATCACCGCAGTCGCAGAATTCAAAGTGGCCGAGGTATCACTTAAGTTAACCCCGCTCATGCACTAATCTGAACCCATGTCCGAGAATTAGGGCTTTGGTATCAGGAACCTATTTTACCATACTACCACATCCATAGCGAAGGGAGTCCGCAAAATTTCATGATTGGGCGTCGGTACTGCGACCTAATGGAATCCGGTGACGCGACATTGCACTCTTGCAGATTTTGGGCGTGCAATTCGGGGACCAAATTCTGAACCACTGTTAGTGTGTGAGTTATTTTTGCCTTATGTTTCTTGCTAGCGCAAGAATATCATTCACGAGGTGAGTTGCACTTCGTACCTCTTATTAAATATTGTTGTTCAAGCACGTTCTACGAGTGTGATCTGATATGTTTCATTTCGAACCTCATTATGGAGTCAGGATCGTAACATTTTGCACACATTGTGAATTCATGTATGTTTCGTTCAGAGATGTTTTAGAGCTTTCAGAAATATGGGATGTGGGAGATGTAACAACGGTTTCACTATATGCTACAGGACCAACTAGCTTTGTAGATTTAGAGTGAGCAAAATGAAACCTCGAATTAGCGCCGAAAGTGACGAGGCCACACAACCCGCACAGGAAGGTCGAGGTATTCTTCTTCTGTATATCCACTTATGAACACTTATGAATACTAAGACATTTGCGTTGATTCTAGTGGATCACGTTTGTTCGTCTTCCTCAAGCATGCCATAGCTAATCCGTTCTAGGATTCCAATTTTACCCTGTAAAGTTTGAAAGGAAAGGCTAGAGAATGAACTGATACAAATAATGTTTTGATTTTACGGCAAAGTTTAAACAGCACGCGTTAAAAATAACATCTAATCGTGTTGTGGAGACATGTGGCAGGTGCAAGAGCTAAGGATGACAGACCGCAATTGCCAGCTGCAGTTGCACAGACTAGAGACAGCATTCCAGGAGCTAACGAGGACGAAACGGAAACCTCAGAGGCTGCAAAAGCCCTTCTAAAACAACAGGTTCAGGCCCTGACAGCCGAAGTTGAAGAGGTGCTCCACTTTCTTGCCATTCATTGCAAACTCGTGTCTTTTCTGCTTTATGGTCTACTTTATCTCCAACTCGCCCTCTATTTCATGAAAGAATGGGCACATATTACTCCTGCATAATTTGCAGATTTCATTCTCAAGCTTCAAGGTTAACCCACAACATTATGCTTATTCTCATAAAATTTACTTTTTGAGGCATGTACTGAATCTACAATTGCGGAAACTTCGCAGATGGAGAGGAAAATCGCCGAAGTAACTCAGAAGCGGAATGCTGAACGCAAAAGCAAGGGTAAAATAGGGACTTCTGTGAAAGACCGTGATAAAGGTGCCGGTGCTTTTACCAAAAAGCAGCAGCAATTGCTTGATATTAACAGACGGGATACGTCTCGAAGCAAGCGGATGCAGGAGCTAATGCGTCAGGTTCAAAGCATTTGGAAACAGGTGCAATTAGCGTTTATTGCATATCTCACTTATTCTTGCTTTGTAGTTTAGACTTGAACTCTTTGCTTGCAGACTGTCAGGCTGCATAGAGTATTTCTAGTATTTGTTGTTCGGTATGTCGTTTTCCTCTTAGAAGTTTCATGAAAGATTTAACCTCAAAAGCAAAATAGCCAGCTTGGTTACTTTTGTCACTAGTAGTGATTATGCCTAACGAAGCCTTAACTTTGCCTCACCCACAACTTGAGTTAGTATCGTTGTCTCCAACTCCGTATCTTAATACTTACAGAGATTAAGTGAAGATTTGGTGACAGGTTGTGGAAAGAGTTACGAGTATGTAGAAGCTAGTGTTTAACTTACTGATGGAACGGTTGCTTGCAATTGATTCAGATATCTCAGCATAAATGGGCTTGGCCTTTCATGAAGCCCGTGGATGTCAAGGGTTTGGGTCTCCATGACTACTACGATGTACGTGATATTAAGTCATACAGTGAATGTTGTTGGTATGATGGGTTTGTACATAAGAATCAAGGTTCATGGTATGAGTTATTTTATCATCAAATATGCATTCTTGATGTTCGTTTGCCATTGCGAAGTATGTATTGCGCCATCTTAGATACAATTAAGCCTCAAATTTGTCTTTAGCAAATATAGATAATACAAGCTTTGATACCTAGTTTTCCGGGAGCAGGTTATTGAAAAGCCAATGGACTTGGGCACAATAAAGAACAAATTGGATGTAAAAGATGGTTTGGGGTACCAGCATGTTCAGGAGGTCTGTGATGACGTGCGGCTGGTTTTTTCCAATGCTATGACTTATAATCCAGAGGGGTCTGATGTCTACGTGATGTCTAAAACCCTCTCTGACAAATTTGAGGAGAAATGGAAGACGCTTATTGAACCGAAATTGCAAGAGGTAAACAGCTTTTCATAGATTCCCAACAATGACTTTCATTCCCTGATCATGATAACATTCCTCCTAGTAAAATCAGTTTTAGAGGAATCCATTGCCTGCTTAATGAAATAATGTATTTTAGGCGATGTCATGTAGATATCTTTGAACCGGATAACTATGCAGAACCCTGCTGATACTAGTGAGATTGACTCAACGACATGCTCAACCTACATCTGATTCTCGGAACTGCATGGTTACTCGGCTTGTGACACATTTACCATTCCTGTACAGGAATTGAAAAGATCACATGATGACAGCGAAGTGCAAGCTAACGAAGGAGGAGTTCCGGTAGTAGAAGAGATAGATACAGAAAAAGTGATTGAGCAATATGCACTTCAGGTAAGTTTAGATTGTAGTCAAGATTGTGCTTTGTCCAAGTGTAGGAAGATCATGACAAGGTACCATCCACTTGTTAGAGACTTGGAATAGCAAGTGAATAAGAGGAAGAATATAAACCTAAAATTTTCACGTCTAAATATAATGCTATGTTTAAATCTGGGTACACATCAAAATTATTTAAGAGTTCACTAGGAATGCCCATTCCTTCCCTTTTGCTACTTCTCTATCTTTATGTAGCGAGTGAGGATAAAATGAAGTATCTAAGTAAAAATTTATTATTGTGAGTGCACAACTCTTATTAGAATCATGAATAGGCATGATCACAAGTAGTTGCATGAGAACTAAACAGATATGGAAGAATTCTCCTTACCAAAATGTGGCTACTTGACGCACTGGACGTGGATTTGCAGTTGGAGGAACTTGATAAGCAGCTAGAAGAGCTGAAGCAACAAGCAACTCCTAAGTTTAGGTTAGCTCTCCACATTCTTCATCAAGTTTTTAGGCTTTTTGTCGTCCACGTGACGTTGCTGCTAACTTAATTTATTAATTTTCCCTTAGAACTTCGTTTGCAAACGTTGGGTTTGAGGAGATTATATTTGCCCTTCATGTACGTACATATATCGTGTTGAAGATTGAGCTTTAGTTCAAAACATATGATTTCATGTTATAATGTTAAAAGTCACAATCTGTAGCTTCTTGTATATAATGCAAAGGTGGTATATTACTTCTTTTACGACCTCGTTTTAAATAAAAAGTTCTTCTAGGTCCTGTCGATGGTGTATGCATTGACGAAGTCTGGCTCTTCGTAATTCTCTGGAAGGCTACAGAATTGTCACTTGTGCTGACAAATCGTTTTGAACTAGCAGCAGAGCAATGTCTGTAGAGGAAAAAAGGCATCTGGGGCAGAGCTTGGGGAGGTTACCACCTGATAATTTGAGCCACGTCATTCAAATTATTGCACAGAAAAACCCCTCCTTTAACATAAACTCCGACGAGGTTGAAGTTGACATTGACGCCCAGGTACTTTATCCATTTGTTTCTCACCCCCTTCAAGCGCACTAATCAAACAATTCCTTCTATATCAGTTTACTGCAAACCTTCCTGTAAGGTAAATAATGATTCACACGTTTTGACCCATCTGACACTGACTACTTTTGTTCGACCCAGGACCCGGCAACCCTCTGGAGATTGCAGCGATACGTGCAGGCAGTTTTAAGCGGTTCGGCAGCTCGCCAAGCTACACCGAGAAGCCAGGCTACCAAGCGCAATGGCAGTTCTCTGCTTAAAAAAAACTCCAGCAAGCGTAGCAAGGCCACTACGTCTTGAATTTCTCACCCATTGAGTGTGTCCACGGTGCCTTGTTTGGTTTTGCCAGCGATGGATGCTTCAGCAATGAACAATTTTCTCTTTGATGCAATGCTGCTCAGTTCCGTTCTTATTTCAGTAGTATTAGATATTAGAGAGATAGATCTCTGAGCATGCTTTCAATCTTCTCACATTAATTTCACTTACTAGACCATTAGCAGATGGGCTGATTCAACACTACAGATCAATCATCTGGAGTGCGGAACTTGAAGAGCAGGCAAAACCACCGAAATGGTATGCTCTTGACTTGTAAATTGATGGCGGATTTGAGTGCTAAATGCTCCCTTATGATTATCTTTCAGGGCTTAAGAAGAGCCTTCTATCTGAAATTGATTAACAATCAAACAAAAAAAAACGCAAAAAATTGCACAGCTCTTTCTCCATGGAGTAATAAGATGTCATGTACCTCTTACAGTATGCTATACTGGATATCAGAAGCATGAATCTACTATGTTCAGCATATATCTGCAAATCATCGTTACTTCATTTACAATTGAACTCTGCAGAAGTATCTATCTCCTAGGATTCAATAAAATCAGATAGTTTTATATGTGTGTGTGTATATATATATATATATATATATAGTGTTGCAAATGCCACCACAATTATTGTTATTGCTGCAATTTATCCTTACTAAGTTTTTAATTATTCTTTTTAAAAATCAAGATTATTTTTGAATATGAAATATACATATATATCAAATTAACAATAAAGTTTTTGACTTGGATAAAAAACCAAAACATTATGTTGAGTGGATGACAAATTGTGGTAAGAATAGTAAAACATGTGATGACATTAGCAATACCTTATATATATATATATATATATATATATAATTGAATTGAATTCATGTTATTTAAACTTTGTATCAAACACCATTAGGTAGTATCCTCTTATCTTGTATTATAATTCTACTATTAGTCAGGGCATACATCACTTATTGAAACTACCACATATTGTGGACGCATGGTTAATATTGAACTAAAGAAATTATAGTTGCAAGCATCTAGAAGTCATGCACTAATGTATAGTCCTTACTAGTATAATATATATATATATATATATATATATATGTTTTGAATTATATGGTGTTCTTAACAATGAACAATCAAGAAGAACAAATATATTTCTTTTGGACCATTTGTATTTTATTATCATCCAAAGATATTTTTTGTAGATAATATTTTTTATATGATTAGATGAAATATATATCATCTAATCATATAAAAAAAATTGACAAAATATATATATATATATATATATATATATATATGTATATATATATATGTATATATGTGTTAGAGACATATTCCTTAGAACTTTCTAGAGAGAAGTTTCTAGAACCTTCTAGAAAACAAGCCTCTGGAACCTTCTAGAAGAGAAGCCTCTGGAACCTTTTAGAGAGAAGTTTCTAGAAGCTTCTAGAAAGGAAGTCTCTGGAACCTTCTAGAAGAGAAGTTTCTAGAAGCTTCTAGAAAGGAAGCCTCTGGAACCTTCTAGAAGCTTCCTAATTAATAGAAGTAGCTCGAGAAGCTTCCTAAGTATGAGTATATATAGGGATCAAGGCTGAAGAGTTCTTCAGTCTCGACAACACATCTCTTGGAGTTCTAGCTCACCTTTCTGGTGTTGTTCTTGTACTCATCTGTTTAATCTAGTTCTGTCACTTCTTCTTGAACTTCTTGTTAGATTTCAAGTCTGTATTTTGTGTCCGTGACAGTTTGTCGAGACTACACTAACTTGAGATATCAGAGCTAGTTCTCTCTTAGTAGAGTGTGGATTACCCCTCTACTTGAAGGTATACTAGCATTTTTTAGAGGTTGCGGATTACCCTCCTCTAAACTGATACTTCTTCTGTTACAATATTGGAGTCTTATTCTTCTTGGAGAGAGTGGATTACCCCTCTTCTTGAAATTCTTAAGGCGTTTTATAGGTTGTGGATTACCCTCCTATAAACCAATATTGCCTCTTATAGGGTCATTTTTGTCCTTCTTTTAGAATGGCCGGAGGTCAAGACATTAGTATGACAGAAAGTTCGGAGTCTAAGTTAGATGCTATTATGAATGCCCTCGCTACGTTATCACAAAGAACTGCAAAGATTGAAGGAGTGGTGGCAAGGCTTCATAATGATGGAGTATCTGGGATAGCACAATCTAAACTACACCAGCCTCAAATTTCGACACTTGGAGAAACAACTTTACCTCAGGTTCGATAAGAACCACTAGTTCTACAACATAAAGAGCCTCGAGTTAGCCTTCCAGATAAGTTTGATGGAACACGTTCCAAGTTTCGAGGATTCGTCAATCAAATCAGGTTGATAACAGTTTTACAGCCCGAACAATATCCAACGGAGGAGTCACATGTTGGCCTTGTTGGAACCTTACTTACGGGACAAGCTCTATCATGGTTTGCTCCTTTGTTTGAAAAACAATCATCCATATTAAACAACTTCGAAACCTTTTTGGAAGCATTTGCGGAAGCATTTGGTGAACACGATAAGGTTCGATGGGCTACAACAAAGATCCGGTCGCTACGACAAGGGATGCGTTCTACATCAATATATGCTTCGGATTTCAGGCAATTAGTATGCGACATCAATTGGGATGAAGAAGCGTTGATGAGTCAATTCTATTGGGATTTAAGAGATGATGTGAAGGAATTGCTGTTAACTCTTCCTGATCCACGAACGCTCAATGAAGCCATTAGCCAAGCTGTGAAGTGCGATAATCGCCTATTCCAACGTCGCCAAGACCAACGCTCAAGACAACATACAATTTGCCATGCTCCAACTATGTCGGCAAGCGGTGTGAATTCGCATTCAGAGGTGGAAGACAGGCAAATTGATGTGGTACGTATCAAATCTCTTACTATAGAAGAAAAAAAGCGACGTATGGAGGAAAATTTATGCTTGTATTGCGGTGGAGAAGGCCATAAAGTCGGAAACTGCCCCAAAAAGCAAAATCAAGGCATAGTCAAGACTAGGGGAGTATTTGTTCAGGAAAACGAGGATGCCCAGCCACAGTAGGAACCGTGCGGCTGGACAATGAAATATCCCAACAACAATCAGGTTCCTTTCTTTTTGCCCAACCTGCACTTTGTTTTACAATCCCTCTGTTTATCGGCCCTCAAAAACTGAGAACCTTAGCACTACTAGACTCATGAACATCTGCTTGTTTTTTAGACGAAGAATTTGCAAAGCGTCATAAGATCCCTTTAGTACAAAAATCAAAACTTGTTCATGTTGAGGTCATAGATGGGCGACCTTTATTGTCTGGTAGCATCACCCATGAATCAAAACCTATAGAAGTAACGTTTAAAGACCATAGTAGTTATATTATTTTTAATATTATTAGAACCCCATCAAATCCTATTATTCTTGGTCTTTCTTGGTTGGAAAAACATAATCCATTGATAGATTGGAGGTTGCGGAAGATGACTTTTCCCACAAAACCACCCAAGAAAAAACCTAGTAAAAAACCTCGAAAAAAGAAATCCTTATTCATTGGAGCAAGAGCGTTTATAAGATCATCTAAGGAAGGCACTCCATTTATCATTTATGCGGCTCCAACTACCGAGGAGAAGATCTCAACAGCAAGTATACCAGAGCAATATAAAGATTTTGAAGACGTGTTTCAAAAGAAGAACGCCGACATACTACCGGAACACCGACCATATGATTGTGCCATAGACTTGCAAGAAGGAGCACAACCACCTTTTGGCCAAATCTACAATCTATCGCAAACGGAGTTGGCAGAGTTACGAAAGTACATCGACGAAAATCTAGCCAAGAACTTCATTCGTCATTCAAAATCATCAGCTGGAGCACCCATCTTATTTGTGAAGAAGAAAGATGGATCATTACGGATGTGTGTGGACTATCAAGGCCTCAACAAGGTAACAAAGAAAAATCGTTACCCATTACCCTTGATTTCTAGTCTCTTAGAACAACTTGGACGTGTGAAGATCTTTACAAAAATTGATCTAAGGGGAGCTTATAATTTCGTACGAATCAAGAAAGGAGATGAGTGGAAGACAGCATTCCATACAAGGTATGGTCATTTCGAATATAATGTCATGCCTTTTGGTCTTACCAATGCTCCAGCAGTTTTCCAACATATGATGAATGACATCTTTTGAGAACACCTCGACGATTTTATTGTCATCTACTTGGACGATATTCTAATATTCTCTAAAAACGAGGAAGAGCATGAGGAGCATGTTCGTTTAGTCTTGGAGAAACTACGCAAGCGAGGACTATATGCCAAATTAGAAAAGTGTTTATTTCACCAGACGGAGATGGAATTTTTGGGATTCATTGTGACTACAGAAGGTTTGAAGATGGACCCCAAGAAAGTAGAAGCAATCATGTCTTGGGAGGTTCCGAAGATGGTTAGAGACGTACAATGCTTTCTTGGTTTTGCTAACTTCTATCGGATCTTCATCAAGAATTATTCTCAAGTTGCTGCTCCTCTCACTCGATTAACATGCAAGGATAAGTTGGAATGGGGACCTTTGGCGGAGAAGGCGTTTCAAGATTTGAAGACAGCATTTACTACAGCTCCAATTTTGGTACATCCAGACTTTACAAAGGCCTTCTATTTAGAAACTGATGCTTCAAATTTTACTTTGGGAGTTGTGCTTTCACAAATGAGTGAAGATAAGAAGCTCCATCTAGTTGCATTCTATTCTCGGAAGTTCTCTGCTGTTGAAATCAATTATGAGATCCACAATAAGGAACTTCTTGCTATAGTGGATTCTTTCGAAGAATGGCGTCACTTTCTTGAAGGAGCTGCACATCCAGTAACCGTATATACGGATCACAAGAATTTGGAGTATTTCATGATGGCTCGAGTTTTAAAACGACGTCAAGCTCGGTGGAATATGTCGCTATCTAGATTCGATTTTGTTATCACTTATCGATCTGGAAGGCAGCAAGGACTATCCGATGCTTTATCAAGGAGATCGTATCTTGCACCAAAGGTTGGAGAAGCAGCGTTTGATCAACAATGTACAACGTTATTGAAGCCAGAGAGATTTCAACTTTGTGCTACTATTCTATCATTTGATGCTGACTTCCTAAACCAGGTATGTGCTATGACCATTAAATATTCAGTAGCCATTGATATCAAGCAACGTACCAATGACAACAAGTTTAAGGTGGAGGGAGATCTTTTATACTTTGAAGAGCGATTGTACATTCCAAAAGGACTAGCACGACTCCGAGTTCTTCAATCTCGCCATGATTTTCCAGCTGCGGGACATTTTGAATTCAACAAGACTTTGGAGCTTATTTCCCGAGATTTTTGGTGGCCCCAAATGTGGAAGGATGTGAAAGATTTTGTCCTCTCTTTTGACATCTGTTCAAGATCCAAGAATCCTCGGCATCGCCCTTATGGACTTCTACATCCATTGCCAATTCCACGTCGACCATGGTCTTCAATTTCTATGGACTTCATCACGGACTT